TTCTTTTTTATTCCTATTTTTCGATAAAACCCCGTTAATAAATTGTTCATACGTTTTTTTTTAAACATTGACGGGACAGTGACAAAAAAAATACTTTCCATATCGATTGATTGGATACTTTTGCTCTATAATTTTGAATTCGAAGTACTTGACGACATATCCTGTTCAAAGTAATCAATACAAATCTGTTTTCTATTTCTAATAAATATTAGTAAAACTTGCCGACAATGTGTTTTTTATTGTTACAAGATAGGATTGTAAGCCCCATGCCAAACCTTCAAATTTATAAACCCTCGTGACACTGGATATATCCATTTTACATCTTACAACAAACCATGAGCTACCTTTATGAACTATTTTATTTCACCCTCGTTCACCATACGAGCGGATTCTTCATTCTAATCTACGCAAATTTTCAAATTCACGTTAAAAAAAAAAAAAGAAAAAAAAGATCTTTAGTGTCGAATTTATATTCGTAGTGTAGTGAACTTTCACGTAAGAGGAGAAGTTTCGTTAAATAATCGCACACACTTTAGTCGTCCCTGAATCTAACACACGAGTCTCGTACGTAACGCTACGTTACGTCACACGTGTACGTATAATAGCACGTGAACACCAACAGGCAAATTCGTATGTGTATTTACGAAAATCTTCGAATCTACAATTATGTATAACTAATCAAACGACGTAACGAAAAAAAAAGAAAAAAAAAATAAATGACAAATTTGCGAAGATCAACGAAATCTTATGCTAATTAACGTCGTCGTACCTCATCGAATTTGAACAAAGTTTTATTATATAACGCGCGTCGCATATCGGTTAAAGATGTCTAAGCAATTATATTAAAACTACAAACAACTTTAGTATTACGATGAACGTATTTGCTAAAAGAATATAAACGAATATTATATAATCATAATGATTTGATATTAGAAAATAAAGTCTAATCGTAATGCACTACTATTACTCATTCGCGGTGTCTTCTTAAAAACTTGATACTTCGAAATTACGTGTGTGTATATATAATCATTTAGTATCACCGATAAGCACGTGCAATCGTGCAATTCTCTTCTCTCTCTCTATCTCTCTCACTCTTTTTCTCTATTATTCTATCTATCTCTATACGTGTATCTATCTCTCTTGTTGCACGTACACGCTAGCTAACTCACTATCGCGCCAATTCCACTCTCATTCATTATATAAAGCTTCCCCAATGTTTACCAAGAGCGCACTTTATTTATAGTCACACCGCTATTCTTTATACGATGCTTACGAAGATTCGTTAACAGACGAAGGAAGGAACTTTTCTCTCTCGCGGCATCTTTTTAAATCCAATTGCATATAACAGACCTACCTTATGGCACACGGTGCATATATTCTTTCATCCAAATCTAAAGTCTCTTTCTAACAAATTTGCATAGAAATAATCTATATGAAACAAGTTCAAATAAATTCGTTCGATTAATTTGCGAAGTAAACGATCGAGAATAATGCAATGTTACGTTGTCCAATCAAAATCAATAATTATCTTACGCGATAATAATTTAATAGACAGGAATGATGATGATTTGTTTGTTTTTTTTTTTTTTTTCGTAAAGAATCGTAAAGATTTTGTTAATTAATGTAATTGATTAAAAGATCACGTAAAACTGTTGAATATTATTTATGTTATATTCGATGATCAACTCTAATTATTTTATTAACCAATCGTTAAGTATCAAACGCATTATTATCATTGAAAACACATTCGTGGAAAATAATATATATATATATATATATATATATATATATATATATATATGCCAAGCTGAAAATAACATTTATCTCACGCGAGAAGAAATAAGAAAAATTCTCAAAGGAATATTTCTTTTATTTCTTTTTTTGTGTGTGTGTTATTGTACATTTAATCGTAGAAAGAAGCTCCACTCGATCATTTAATATTCCTGATCGAATCATCGGAATTGGTAACATTAAAAAGTCTACTTTTTACTTCCATTTCTCTTTTACATTTTTGTCCTATTCCAAAAGGATATAAGTCTTGTTTCGTTTTCCATTTTTTTCGATGATACGATCGCGAATGACTTAGCGTTCTCTCCATGTGGAAGCCTATTGACGAAAGAGGGTTTATATAACTTTAGCGACTAAAGTCATTCCTCGAAGCGGTTTTAACCACATTTTTGCAAAGCCGTACGACCTAAAGCTCAAAGTAATAATGATACCAACAAATCGGTCGAAGAAAAACAACAAGATAAAGAACAATGAACAAAAGAATCAGCAATTTAAAAAAAAAAAAAAAGAAATAAAAATAACAGAATCTTAACTTATAAGGTTTGCACAGATAAATCGAAAATATTGAATACAAGTTTCGAAGAAAATAACAAGGATTAACGTATCTCTCGAGAGTTATGATGACACTCGACGTTCGCGAAGCTGGCTGCATCGAGTGATACGAATTCAATTTCTGATAGATATCATTGTCCTATTTATATAGAATTTCGATAAGTATCGTTTCAAGAAATTCATCGAATTCTTCAAATCAAGAATAACATCAATAATTCACAATGAGTCATCCCTAGCTTACGTATACGACAATTACGTACGTATACAAAATTTCAATATGATTCTTATATTTTAAAATAGAATTAATATCTCTATCAAATATATAATTATTATTATCTTAATAAGAGAGAGATTAATATAATCTTTGGTTTATAATTGTTGACAAAATAATTGGAACAGACAAATTAATAGACAATTGTAATTTTTAATAATACGATTGATACTTGTATATATAATCTTTACGATAGAAAATTGTAACGAAAATTGTTTAATCGTAACGCGATGATAGATTAAATGTCTGTGCAATAACACAAATGGTAAAACTATTATATTATTATCTTTCTTAACTTTTCTCTCTCGTATTTTTGTATTTTTATTTTTCTTACATTAGTTCACGCGTAAAAGTTTTACGTAACGGTAAGATACGTCATATTTCGATGATTAACAATTTGTTTTGCGATCGACAAAGGTGACTCTTTGTTCGACACAAATACCTTACGTAAGTCGGTAGATAAACGGGTATATGCAGCACGTATAGGAAAGATTAGACTCTTTCAAAATTTTATTCTCGTCTTTCGGGTCGGTTGTCTTTTTCGAATAGGTATGCAAGCAAGAGTATATCGTCTCTGACAAATACGATTGCACCAAAGAAAAAAGAAAACAACGTTTCTGATTCACGATTGATAAATGATACACGTTTATTCGAGTACATATGTTCTTTCATATATGCATCATTTTAATAAACAACTAATAAGAGAAACGATAAAAAGAATCGTGCTCGCGGTTAAACTCGTAAATATTTTCTTCTAGTAAAGTGTGTGAGTAATGTATGTGCATATACATACATACATACATACATACATACGTACGTACGTACTTCGATAGAATGACCGAATTCATGGCTTGGATATTTTTATACGACAAATTTATGAATGCTCAAAAATAAGAAAAATATATTCTAAGGAAAAGGTAGACAAGTCTTTGATAAAAATTGCATTAAAGAAACGAAACAAGAAAAAGAATAATAAAAATAAAAAAAACATATGGACCGGTGAGGTCCGTATTCATCGTTTCATCATTCAAATCACGATTGCCAGCTGTACATTTCTTATATCAATTGCGAACGATTCTAATAATCCTATAAACGGTGCAAATTTCGTCTGCAGTGTCCTCTGTCCTATTACATTTTTTAAAACAATGAAGCATATGATTCAATGAATCCTTTTTTAAACAAATGAAACAAAATGAATTGAAAAGAGACTTTGTCAGTAACGAAATGTGTTTAGAAAAAGTTTAAAGGTGACTAAAATCGATGCCATAAATGGACAATAGATAAGCCGGCATGTTGCCGAGTGGAAAGAACCTATGGGACAACATAATTAATCGGAGTTGCCGACTGATCGATATGAACAAATAAAAGTTGGAGCGTTAAGGGGTTAATTATGTCAAGTTTGACAACGTTATTATTAACTTTTTCAATATGATGAATTTTAACATGAATTTCAATAGGAACGATCTCCATCTGTCGTATTAATAATTTAGTGTGCATAATTGTAACACAGTCTCGTAGCAGTCAGCAAATCGTTCGGAGAAACGAACTCCGATTATCTAAGGACACGACAGTGATGGGGTCATTGACAAGAACCAAGCCAGATGGAGCTATGGCCTCAGCGAGGCCAAGCATAAAACTCGCACCAATCAGCTATGAAACTTGAATGGTGTTTCTTTTTTTTTTTTTCCTTCGATTAGAAACATTTGGGAATTTCCAAAAATTACCCTCCCCCTCTCTTCTAAAAGAAAAAGTTCCATCCATAGGAAAAAAGTTGTATTCAAATGCTTTGAAAATTGATAGTTGATCTTGTCACGATTTATCCCATAGGTCGAATAATTTTAATCGAGGGGAAGGGGGTTGAAAAAAGAGATTGCATCGGGGTAGGGTGGCGTTGCAACGAGAAACTAAACTGCTCATGCTCCGTAACTGCAAAGCCTAACCCTGCCGAGAACCCGGAGGAGAGAGAGAGAGAGAGAGAGTCGTTCGTGAAAAGGAGAGATCGATCGATCCCAATCGGAATTTGGTTAGTTTAATCATCAAAGTTTTAAACGTAACGACGATAAAAATCATTTTTTATTTTCTATCTTTTTATCTCTCCCCCACCTAACCCACCCACCCACTCTCCCTGTTCTCGTGCGTGCATTTTCGAAAGGATCCTAGGAATTTGAACGAATTAAAGGGAAAAACAAAAATAGGAGGAAAAAAGTGAATTAGATTTAGGCTAACTTGGGTGGGAGGACAAGAAAAATGATGAAAAATTAAAAGAGGTAGAGGAGGAGGAGGAGGAAAAAGAAGAAAAAAAAATTGTGATAAATTCTGATAGGATGGGAAAAAAGGAATCTAAAGGAAATAATAATAATAATAATAATAATAATAATAATAATAATACGTGGCGCTGGCATCGTAGTCGGCAGTCTGAGAAACAGCAGCAGCAGCAGCCGGGTGGGTTGATGACGGGGACGGTGGTGACGGTGGTGGCGTGCGATGAGAACGACGCTTCTAGTGGTGGCATCAGTCGACGTTCTACGTTCGTTCAACGCGTATCTCGATGGCGTTCAATCTCTCGCGAGTTCCTCGATAGCCGCGTGCTCGAGTGGACTTGTCAAACTTAAAACAATACCAACACCAACATCAGCCAGCCCCCGTTTTAACAAACCCCCGATCTATTACCTGTCTACCCTTTTATCTACTTACTTTCTTTTTTTTCTCCTCATCGTCAATCATATATATATTTACAGAGAGTTAATTGATCAGTTTGTTGTTGTTGTTGTTGTTGTTGTTGTTGTTATTGTCACGAGTTAATAATAACGCGATGCATGCCGAGTTTGGTATATCGAAATTCTGCTCGAGCGGTTTCTACCGCGCGGATTATTGGACGAGTGACGCGCGCACGTAAAAAGGACTCTGCCGCGTCCCTCTAATACAGAGAAAAGTGTGTGTGTGTGAGAGAGAGAAAGAGAGAGAAAGAGAGAGAAGAAAGTGTAGTCCTTTAAAACGACAATCATCGTCAGAATGGAACCCGCCAAAGATCGTCTGGCGTCTCGTTATTGTGGATATCGTTTGGCTGTCGAGATATATGAAAAGAGTCTGGTCAGAGCAGACAGGTCAGCGACTTGGTATCTCGTATCCGCTATTCTGGAAGAATTGGCCGGTCCAACTAGTACGGTCAATTGTATGCCAAGCATCACTAACGCGACAAGTGTGATGAATACTACGACGACGACGACGACGACGACAACTAATAATATTAATAATAATAATAATAATAATACGACAAGTTCAACGACGATGGATATATTAACGAATCCCAGTATGCCATTGAGAAGAAAAATCGAGTTCTATTTTGCTTGTCCATTTTGCGAAGGTACACTCTTCGAACCCGTTACCGCCAGCTGCGGACACACTTTTTGCAGGAATTGCATGGAAACGGGAACAAATTGTCGCGTGTGCGGACAAAAAATTGTAACCATTGGTCAAACTAACGTGCTAGTGCAAAGGCTCGTGGAAAAGTGGTGGCCACGCGAGCTCGAGGCCAGCAAAGCGAGACACGAGGGTGACCTCCTCATAAAGGAGGGTGACCTGACTAAGGCACTGGATAGGTACAACCTTGCCGTTAGACTAGGTGAGTACGTAAACTTATCTAATTTCCTTTTCTTCCTTATTTCTTTTATTTTTCTTATTGACCATCTTCCTTTTTATTTTCTTCATTCTTTTTTATTCCTTTTCCATATTTCGAAAGACCTTTTGCACGACGTCTAGTCATTTAAAGTATATCCCTTTTTATTTTACCTTCTCATTAGGTTTGCGCGCGAATCCGAACGTTCAGGAATCAAGAACGTTTCGTAAGGTATACGCCACTGTTACGTAAAGACCGTTATGAAACGCCAAACTTGGATAACGGTAACGTTTGTAGAAATCGCTTTGTGCGCGAAGATACGTCCAATATACACGTCCAATATATATGTACGAGTTTGTTGTATATTACTTACTATAGTCGTTTATTCTTATGTATAATAAAATAAGGACAAGCTATTTAAATTATCTTGCATTTATTTTTTCTTTTTCTTTTTTTTATCGATATATTTATATTAGACTTTGTCCTGTTTGAAATAATACAATTTTGCGCCTCGGTTTTTAATATAAAGCCCTTTAAATACGATTATTTAATATATATATTTGTTTAATCTTTGTTTTATTTTAATTATGAATAAAATGTATTGATCGCGTTGACACGTTGTTAACGATAGAAAATTATTGAATATTCGTCGTTTAAAATGTTCTATCATTGAACTTATTATTTATTGATTCGTGAAATAATTTTGCAAGACTGTTTCTAGTTGTTCTAAGTGATTTTCTTAATTAATATTAATATAATTTGCTTAAGGTGCAAATATTGTTATAAGTGACACGTGCTTTTTCTTTCTCCACGCGGTAGGACAAATTGATAAATCTGCTGCTGTATATTCGATTGCTTACGAATTCTTTCGTATATCCTCGAAGTATAACTTTTCAATCAATTTTGTATTAATACAAAACAGGTTTGCCAATTCAAGGAGAGAATGTTGCACTCGTGCAACGAAAACGATAACAAACAGAAACAAGAAACAAAAAATAATCAACGTTAATAGTATTCTTCTCGCGACTTTTTCATCACCCTGGCGGTCTCTGGTTGACGACCTCGTCGCAAATAAATGACGCAAAACTTCTTCTTCTTCTTTGTTCGAATTGCCCAGATACATTGAAATATCTCGAAAGATTTGAAAAAAAAAAGAAAAAGAAATAAATATACGACGACCGATTATTTTTTGTTTTTTTTTTTTTTAATGAAATTCGAATAAAATGTCTTACTTTTCAGGAAAAAAAATCCATTCCCATGAGAATAAGAAATAAAAAATAGAATATTTGTTTTGTTTTTCTTTTTTTTTGTGATACGGGAAAACGAAAAGGTTGTGCAGTAAGATTGATCGTAACGTTGAGATTCTGTTATCGTAAAAAAAAAATAAAAAAAAAATAATTTCAATTAAACGAATCCATTGGATTTTCACAGAAATGGCGGAGAAGTTTATAACGACTAATGTATATATTTCGAAATGGTCGAGTACGCGAGCGCAGCCAGCCGAGATAGGTCGACGCACTGATGCAAGTCCAGATATAAACCTGATAATCGTTCACGGCCCCTATTTATACAGCAAGCACAAAGATGGATTGACTTCTACGATAATCCGTCCATTATCCTTACCGAGAAGTGAGACTTTCGTCAATAATTTAACTAATTTCTCTCTCTCTCTCTCTCTTTCTCTTTCTCTCTCCCTCGTATCTTTTTATTTTCTATTTAATACAATATAAATTACACCACGATAATAGCACGAAACTATAACCAAATCGATAAATATATTTTTACAAATTTAGTTACTCGACCTATCCTTTTGTTTCCTTTTTCAAATCTTCTAATTAATTTCTAAAAACCGTGAACATTCGTTGCATATACGATTTGTTATATATCAAAACACTGCATCACACCCCACGTATGTGAAATCATTTAATTACATTAACAGAATATTTCTAAATATAAATTCTTATCATCAGTATATATATATATATTCATATATATTTAATCAATCTACAATATATCATTTATAAAAATACCACTATCTAAATAATCTGTAATAATTTATTATATATTTTATGTTATTTCTCTCAACTTTATAAAAAAAATATCTGGTATACAATAAAACATATATAAATAAATAAATAAATAAAATGAATGGGAAACGTGCGAACGGATATGCGAAATAATAATGTGTTCGAGATAATGCATGGTAAAATGAGAAGATGTCGTACTAAAAAGGGATGATGAGATTACGTTAGAAAACGAAAAACGAGGAATACGGTTAAGACTACTACGACTAGAAGACGAAGACGAAGACGAAGACGAAGACGACTATGACGAAGACGACGAAGATAAGTTCACGGCCAGTCTGAGACGGTGGTTATATAACGCTTCGAAAGAGGCACGAACAAGTCGGCAAGAACGAACTATTCCGAAGGCATGGCGTTCCATCGTTGAGAGTCACGGTGGATGCACTCGGGAGACAAAGAACTCGGACTCGTTGAAAGAGAGTGCATCGTACCTAGGTACTTACGATTCTCCTTCTTTCTCTCTCTCTCTCTCTCTCTCTCTCTCTCTCTCTCTCATTCTCTCTTATTCTTTCTTTTAACGTTTATATTATTTTACGTTTGTAAGTATTAACTTACATACACTTACGTTACGTGACATTAAGCACGTTGACTTCAACGTCTCAACGTTACAAGCAAACATAAGTTTTCCTACAAGTAAAGTTTAATATAAAAAGAAAGAGAAAAAAAATGACAACGGGAAATTCATAGATTAGTCGGTTAATCCTTTGAGTTTGATGACGAAGACAATCAGAGGACGTTTGCCTGCCTCGAGGACGATTACTCATCGTATCAAATCGTTTTATCGCGTATCTTTTTGTCTTTTTATTTTTCTTATTTATATCTAATCGCACACATTCGTCGAGTATCTTATAAGAGTTTTAAGAGAAGAAATGTAAACTAATTTGTTCTACGAGGAGACAATACAATAATGTATTTTCAATATGAAATATCAGAGAATTACGATGAATATATATGTGATATATTTTTTAAACATGATATTTGTATTATTTACGATATCAATATGTTGAATTCCATTCAAGTTTCATACGTTTTACTATAGATGCCATGTTTGTAGATAGTTAAGATTAAATTATTATTATTTGTCCAGATATCATATTAATAGAATGTCTTTAAATGTAAATTTAATCAGTTGTATATATCATCTAACAAACATTCTCTAAATTATTTATAATTAATTTTTATTTTTTACCTGGCCTCTCTTTTATAAATTTTTTATTAATAGGTTTATCCCGTAAAATAAAATAACGTTGGTTATACCGGTGACCCAAATTGCATTTAAAAAACACGTTTATCTTTTCGTAATTATTTGCAACAATTATGCTTATAATAAAACCATCCCTTTTGTACGATTTATATATTCCCTTCGCGTAAACCAAGAGGATTGCTTTTCCTTAAAGAAAAAAAAAGAAAAAAGAAATCTTGTGTTTCTTCTTTCCTTCTTTCGTGCGAATTCGATGTTAGGTGGATGGAACTCTGCCAAATACTGGATATCTCCTATCGGTCCTCCGATACACACTGTTGCTCCTTCTCGTGAAAATCCCGCGGGAGAGGTCGAATCAAACCAGAGGGAACGTGCCCGCGAATTCTAAAGAGCCTAGTGCATTTCGGAGGTCAAGGACGTGACAGTAACACGTTCAAATGATTCTCGAAGAAAGCAACCTAACTAACATTCTGCGCTACGAGATCGAAAGTCGTTTGATTTAACCCTTTTGAGTGTTAAATACTTTTAGTGTTGAACAAAAATGATTCTAATAATAAATTATATTTAATAATTAGAATTTTGTTTGTGTTTGATTCTCTTTAATCAGAATGAGATGATGTATATTTAATCTTAAATCACGCCACGAAAAAATATCTTCTTCTTCTTTCTTTCTTTCTTTTTTTTTTTTTTCTTTTTCTCTTCCACTTTTTATCAAATCTCGCGTTGTCGTCGTATTCTCGTACGTTTCTCGAGGGACGCGAAAGTGTGTCAAGGTGTTTCATGGAAATTAAAATCACTAAATTCGATACGATGTGTACCAAATATAATCGCATAAGAAAGAAATAACTCCAAAACAAAGTTTGGCAAAGTATTATTCGATGCACGTGTCCTTGCGTAATAATACATTAAAAAATATATATATATATATATAAAAATGGCACACATATATTATAATTATTTTACATATTAGGTTTGTTTTTTTGTTTTTTTTTTTCGTTTTCTAATTAAAATCTTAAGTAACATTAAAACGAATCCAATCGATTTGTAAAACAAATGACAATGTTGCGCACGTTTGTGGAATCATTATCCGATTCGAATGCTTGCCACTCATCCCATCCTCCTTGTCTTCTTCTACTCTGGTAACAGTAAAAATAGAGATAAATACAATTGACTTTGTTGAGTTCCGCGGGCGAAAGTGGGTCACGTCCTCGATCCTTTTGCGATCGTAACCATTCATCGCTTGGAATTTTTCTTCCTCGTAATGACACCTTATACGAACACGAGTTATTTGCGTGATTCTAGTATTGATTTTTGGAATCCCTTGTTTTTACCTTTTCATACTTAATTGTCATCTTCCAATTATGAGCTCATCAAATATACGTTTGTTTCAATTATTTGTCAATGGTTTTATTCACACTTTAATATTGATGATACGTAAAATATATATATATATATAATAAAAGACATTTGCTACGTGTCATTTTCATTTAATTTTAGGGCTAAAAATAAATGAATTAATTTTGGATACGCGTTAAATTAATTTCTCAGTTCGCAGTTTGCGTATCATTGCATTTTATTACAAAGTTTCGTGAATTACATTACCTCGTAGAGTATCTCTTAATTTAAATCTGACACGTTGTGTTAACTTTTACATTTGAATTTTTTCATAAAAGTTCTAAGAACAATATAAGCTCAAGCTTGATTCGTGATATATTACGAAT